GGGGGCGGGGCGGGAGGAGGAGGATGAGGAAGGGCAGGATGAGGAGGAAGAAGGGGGGGCCCTACCTGCACGGCGGCCTCCAGCTTGCCCTCGAAGGTGAAGTCGATGAGGTCCGGCTTGAGGCAGAGCCCATAGTTGAGGGGGGACACGTCGGCGGGCAGCCGCTCGAACGGCCGCTTCTCCGGCATGGCGGGAGCGCGGGGGGTGCGGGGCTGCGCCCCCCCCGGCGGGGCGGCGGCGGCGGCGGCGGCGGGGGGGGCGGGGGGCGGCGGGGGGGGCGCGGGAAGGGCGACGAGGCGGCTCCGCACGGACGCACCGAGAGGGAGCAGCGGCGGGAGCGGAGGATGAGGAGGAGGAGGATGAGGAAGATGAGGAGGAGGAGGAGGAGGGAGGGGCGGGGGCGCGCGCGCGCTCCCGGCTCGAGGCGGCCCCGGTGGGGGAGTGCGGGGAGCGGAGCGGGAGGGGGGGAGGGAGAGAGGGAGGGAGGCACGCGGGCGGCGCGTGCGCGTGCGCGCGGCGGCGCCACGCGGCCGCGCACGTAGCGCGCGCGGGGGGCGGGGAGGGGGGGGGAAGGCGGCGGGAGGAGTTGCGTAAGCGCTGGCCGGGAGTGCGCCTGCGCAAAGCCACGCCCCGCGCGGACACACCCCTTTCTGTGGGACACGCCCCTTCCCGGTGCTGCGGGACGGGGCAGCCCCGGTAACGGGGATCCCGATAACGGGGATGCCGGTAACGGGGAACCCTGTGAGCCCCCGTAATGAGGATGCCGGTAACGGGGATCCCGGTAATGAGGATCCCGGTAATGGGGATCCCGGTGAGCCCCGCTAATGGGGAATCCCGGTGTGTCTGTAATGGGGATCCCGGTGAGCCCCGCTAATGGGGAATCCCGGTGTGTCTGTAATGGGGATCCCGGTAATGGGGATCCCGGTGTGTCTGTAATGGGGATCCCGATAGTGGGGGATCCCGGTGTGTCCGCTCCAAGCGGGCCTGGCACAGTGCACCCTATTGAGGTGCAATGAGGCTCCCGGTGCTCCCGGTTTGGACGGATGCTGGCACCCCGTTAACTGGGGCTCTCGGGTCACCTGGTCTGGGTGGGGATTGGCACAGTGCACCCAGGGGCTCCCGGTTTTGGGCTGACACTGGCACGGACACCCCGTCAGCGGGGCTCCCAGTACTCCCAGTTCAGGGGGATGACGGCTCCTGGGTCTCCGGGTGCACTCAGACTGGGGGGCAGAGCTGGAGTGGCGCCCCCATATTGGGACATCCTGGGTTCCCTCTTTGCTCTCTGTATTTCAGTTTATTTCTCACCATTCCTTCCCCAACGAGATTTATTTTTGTTTAAAGTGATACTTTGCTGTTTAAAAAAGATAAGTTAGTGCTGAGCCAGGGAGAGAGCGAGCAGGGATCTGGGGAGGGGAGCTGGATTCCAGGAGGGAACGGGGATTTGGGAAGGAAAAGGGATTTGAGGAGGGAAAAGGGATTTGAGGAGTGGAGTGGAGATTCAAGGCAGGAGGAGCAGGGATTTGAGGGAAGGAGCAGGAACTCAGGAGAGAGAGATGGGATTTGGGGAGGTGAATAGGATTCGAGGTGGAGAGAAGGGGTTCAAGAGGGGAGAAGGGTTCGAGGGAGGGAACGGGGATTCACTGAGACCTGGAGGAGCCGGCGGCACGAACTGGGGCAGGGGGAAAGTACAGACAGCTCTCCGCACATGGTTACAGAAAGCCAGCGCTGCCGAGCCCGGGTTCACCCGGGGCTGCCGCGGGGCCGCATTGTGCTGCGGAGCCCCGGGGAGGGAAAGGGAGACAAGGGAACAGCTGGAAGCAGCTGGGAGCAGCTGGAGCCGGCGGGGGGTTCGGGCCGCTGCCGCCCCGCTGCCTCGTGCCAGCTCGCAGCGCGGCAGGGCGCGGGGACACAGGGGACACGGGGGGACACGGGGGGACAGCGGCGCCGGGAGCCGCGCCAGGGAGCGGCTCGGGGTGCGATGGGATCCCGGCGGGGCTCGGGGCGGAAAGCCGCGTCTGCCCCGCAGCCAGGGAGGCTCCGTGCGGGGTTTGCAGCCGGGATGGACGGAACGGGACCGAGCCCGGCCGGGGACACCCCGCGGCCGCGGCGGCAGGAGGAGCCCGGCTGTGCCCCGGCCGGGCTGCGGGACCCGGCCAGGGCACAATCCCGTCCCCTCCCGCCCGGCCTCGGGCTGGCAGCGCGGGCGGCCGCGGGTGACCGTCCCTGGCAGAGCCGCGGCAAGGTCAGGGCCGGGATAAAACTATTCCTGGAGCAGGGCGGCGCGGCCCCGGGGAGGGCAGCGGAGGGGATTGTCTCCTCTGAGCTTTAATTCCCATCCCCGATGGCCGCGGGGGCACCGGGCGCCCTCCTGGCCCGCCGGGGGGGCTCGGGGGCCGCGGGGCTTGTGCTTGCCAAAGGGCTCCGGGCGCTTTCCGCGGGTGCTGCCCCGCACGGGAGATGCTGGGAGGTGACAGATGCTGCTGTCAGCAAGAATCCAGGAAAAAAAAAAAAAAAGAAAAAAAGAAAAAGAAGGAAGAAAGAGGGAAAAAGAGCGAGGCTCCGCGGAGACAGCCGGGGGGAAGCCGCCGCCTCCGCCGTGTCCCGACCAAACCGGGCTCTCCTGTAGCGCCAGACTGCGCAGGGCCCGGGGACAAACGGACGGGGTGGAAGCCAGGAGCTGTAATTAGCCCAGAGCCACCAACCGCTGTCAGTGCTCCTTTCTAATTAGGAAAAACAAGGGAGAAAAAAAATTTAAAAGGGGGAATAAAGGAAAAAAATTAAATTCCCAAGAGAGGCTTTTCTTTTCTTCCCTCTCTCTCGCCGGAGTTTTCGCCGCCGCTGCCGGCAGCGGGAGCAGCCGGAGGGCACCGGCTAATCCTGCCTCGCAGGTCTGGGCCGCCGGCTTAGGGCTGGAATCTCTGGTATTCGGGAGCACGGGAACAGCCGCGCTCCGAGCCCCGGGGCCTCCTGCTCCGCGGGTCATTCCGGGGGTCGGGAGGCGATTTCCCCTGGTTTCCCCCTCTCCGTGCGTGCGTGCGGCTCGGCCCGTCCCCTCCCGCCTCCCCGCCGGGCACCCGGGACAGGTTGCACAAGGACGGCGGCAAACGCGGCCCAGCCCCTGCCTGGAGCCGGCGGGGACAGCTCGGGGCGGGTGCCGAGCCCCGATCCCAGCCCTGATCCCGCTCTCCCACGGCACAAACCCCCACGCGGTGGTTTTGCAAGGAGGAGAGCACAGGTGGGACGGGGGCGTCATCCCGTGCCATCTCCACGGCCCCATCCCAAATTTCCTCAGGGATGCTCCCGGGCCGAGCCCCCCACGGGCAAGGACGCGGTTCCAGAGGGGTTTCAGAGGCCCCCAGCGCTGCCCACGGAGGTGAAACCGGCCGGGATGGCATCCCGGGCATCCGGGAGAGCCAGCCGGGCTGGGAAAATCCAGCCCCACCAGTCGGGAGCCGTGGGAAAGCGCCGGGGCCGCGGGGCTCGGGGCCGGTGACTCAGCCCCGGCTGCTCCAGGACCGGCCCCGCAGCCCCGGGGCTTCGTCCCGGCTTTCCAGAGCGCTGCGCTTTTCCGCCAGGGTGCTGCGGGAAGCGCTGTCTGCCGGCTTTGCCCCCCGCACGCCCCAGTGAGCATCACGCCGGATTTTGGGATTTTGGGAGGTGCTGGCGGGCTGCATCGCCATCCCCCCAGCCAGGGGGCCCGGCTGCCCCCGCGGCCCCGGCCCAGCCCCGCACGGCCGCTCCCGGCTCGTCCCGGCTCAGATAAGAGCGCGGGCCGGGATCAACGGTCTCGGGCACGGCGGAGCCGTCACTACACATTAACCAGCTGTCCGATGGAGCAACGCGGCCTCGCAGCCAAGATCAACAGTCCCCAAAGCAAACTGGGAGCGGGGCCAGGCGCGGCGAGCGCGGCCGGAGCCTCCCGGCGAGCCCCCCGCCCCCGAGGGGCCCCCCGGGCTTCGCACCCCGGCCGGGCTCGCCTTTGGCTGCGCGGGCCTCGCCCCGCGGCCGTGGGCGGGTGATGAGCGTCCGTCCCCAGGGCGTCCCGGCGGCTCCCGGGTTGGGGTTTCGAGGGAAAAGGGCTTGGGATGAGCCGGTTCGCGTTTTAGGGCGGGAGTGTCGCATCCTGGATTGTCCCCGCGATATTCGGAGGGACCCCCGAGCCCCCAGCGCTGCGGGCGGCATCCCGGGGGTGCCGCATCCTGGGCTGCCCCAGGGACATCCAGAGGGACCCCTGCCCTCGATATCCCCCCCTCCCCGCCAGCGTCAGGGGCTGCCGAGATGGGAAATCCCAAAAGCATCGCAGAAACCCCACGGGGCTGCTGGGGGTGCAGGAACTGGGGGGGTTCTGCGGGTCCGGGGGGCTCTGGAAACCCGGGAGGGGGTCCTGCGTGCCCGGGGGAGGGACTATGCGGATCTGGGGGGGGGGGGGGGGGAGGGCTCTGCGTGCTCAGAGGAGCGCTGCGGGTCTGGGGGGGCAAATCTGGGGGTCCGGGGAGGGGTCTCTGCAGGTCTGGGGGGGCTGTGCGTGTCCAGGGGGGGCTCTGCGTGTCCGGGAGTGCCCTGCGGGTTACGGGAGGGTCTCTGCAGGTCCAGGGGGTCACTACAGATCCGGGGGGGGCTCTGCAGGTCCGGGGGGGCTCCGACACCCGCGGCATCCCCCGCATGGGGCAGGGTGGGGGTCCCGCGTGTCGCACGTGACCCGTGTGGGGGGTGGGGGATGGGGGCAGTGCCATCCCCCCCGCCCCCCGCACTGCACCACGCACGGGGGTCCCCCCTCCGCGCGCTCGGGGGGTGGGCGGAGCCTCCCGCGCTGGCCCCGCCCCTCCCCGGCCTCCGCAGCCGATGGAATTTTCCACTCGCGGGCGCGGTGCGGGCTCCCGCCGGCCACGCCCCTTCCCGCGCGCGCGCGCGCGCCCCGCGCGGCCCCGCCCACACCTCCCCCTCCCTCCGCGCGCGGCCCCGCCCTCCCCGTTCCCGCCATCCCCCGCGGCGGGGTAAAGATGGCGGCCGCCATGGCGGCGGGGCTGGGCCGCAGGGCGCCGCGGCTCTGCTGGAAGGTGCGGCCGGGAGAGCGGCCTGAGGGCGCCGCGGAGCGGCTGTGGGGCCGCGGCAGGAGCGGGGTGGGCCCCGAGGGTCAGGGAGAGCGCCGGGGGCCGTGGCGCGCGCGGGCCGAGAGGGGAAATCAGTTCAGGCCTGGCGGTGCTGGGCTCACTGCGGGCTCTGCCTTTGCCTCCCCTCAGGCCGCCGAGTCCCTGCTCCGTCCCGGCGCGCTGCCGCCCTGTGTGCTTGTGCCGGTGAGGAGCAGGAGGAAGGGGCCGCGGCTGCCCGAGTGGGCCCGGGAGCTGAGCCCTGAGGAGCGGGAGCGGCGGCTCCGGTGCGCGGCGCCGATCTTCCCGGACGAGCGCATGGAGCGCACCTTCTTCCTGGCCTGCACGGGTACGGCAGCGCGGCGCACTCGGCCAGGCCCGGGTGATGTGACGGAGAGCCGGGCGGAATTCCTTCCCCACTGTTCCCTCTGGCGGGGGGAGAGGCCTCCCTGCCCGATCTCCAAAGCTGTTGGTGCCTTTTTCTTGAATGCCGGATTCACAGAGGGCTTTGGGTTGGGAAAGCCCCTGCAGTGCCACCCCTGCCATGCGCAGGGACACCTCCCACTGTCCCACATTGCTCCAAGCCCTGTCTGGGACTGTTCCAGGGATCCAGGGGCAGCTTCTCTGGGAATTCCATCCCAGCCCCTTCCCTCCCTCTCAGGGAGGAATTCCTTCCCAAAATCCCCTCTAAACTTCATTTTGAAGCCATTTTCCCATCTTCCCTGGGCTGTGAGGGAACAGCAGAGAGCAGCACCTGTGTATGAGCTTTATCCAGGAATTCTCTCTCAGAAATTCTTCCGTTTCCCCTGTTCATTCCCTGGGCTCTGAGCCTCCTCCTGAGCTGCTTTTCCCCCACCCCAGCTGAGATCATGGATCCCTACGTCCCTCCCGAGGGCGATGCCCGCCTGACCTCGCTGTCCAAGGACGGGGTGAAGCAGCAGATGCAGAAGCTGAGGCAGACAGCGGCCTCCCAGCTGGCGTATGTACCCCTCGTTAGCTAATTAGCATAATTACCCTGCTGCTTGGCCTGTCCTGGGTCTGTCCGTGGGAGATAGTCCTCCCCCAGGTCCCCTCCAGGCCACCCAGGGACCCCAGATCTCCTCAAAACTCCCCCAAATTCCCCCCAGGACACCTGTGTGTCCCCCAGGTCACTTCCAGGCCACCCAGGACCCCCCAAATCCCCCCACGTTCTCTCAACCCCCACCAAACCCCCTCCGTGAGGGAGCTGAGGGAACTCTGGGTGATTTTTAGGATTAAGGGGCTGTTTCCTCCCTGCTTTTCCCATTTTTGTTGTCGTTTCCCCTTCCCCTCTCCTGCTGGGAGCAGCCACGCTGTGCACTCCCAGTTTTTTTGGGATTCTTTGGATTTGGCTCTTTTGTGACCCCCTGAAGGTTTTGTCTTAGTGAGGGATCTCAGATTCTCAGCTGGGAAAAGCTGGGTTTGAATCCTGTAGGATCCAAATATCCAGGACAGCTCTAATTTTGTTCTTCCCTTAATTTCTTTCTTTCCCAGCCTGCGGAAGATCAAGGATCACGACCCGGATTTCAGCACCAAAACCTTCCCTGAGAAAGCCCAGGAGATATTTATTGAGGCCCACAACTCCCTGGCAAAGTAAGGCCCTTCCCTGACCCAGGGGGAGGTGGAATTTGTGTGGGAGGAAGAGCAGGAATTTGTGTAGGAGGAAGAGGAGGAATTTGGGGGGAAAGTGGGAATTTGTGAGGGAGGAAAGGTGGAATTTGTATGGGGAAAGCTGGAACTTGTGGGGGAAATGCAAGAATTTGTGGGGAAAATTGCAGGGATTTGAGGGGAAAGCAGGGATTTGTGTGGAGGAAAAGGTGGAATTTATGTGGGGGCAAAGCTGGAATTTGTGTGGGGGGAAAGCTGGAATTTTTTGGGAAGAATTGCAGGAATTTGTGTGGGAAGAATTTAAGGAATTTGAGGAGAAAGCAGGAATTTATATGGGGAGAATTTAAAGGAATTTGTGTGGGTGGAAAGCAGGAGTTTGTGTGGGAGGAAAGGTGGGATTTGTGAGGGGAAAGCAGGAATTTGAGAGGAAAGCAGGAATTTGTGTGGGGAGAATTTAAGGAATTTGTGTGGGAGGAAAGGTGGGATTTGTTTGGGGGGAAAGCAGGAATTTGTGTGGGGAGAATTGCAGGAATTTGAGGGGAAAGCAGGGATTTTTGAGGAACCTCCTTTCCTTTGCTGAATTGACCAGAGTGTTTCCTCTGCAGCTTTAACAAGCAGAAGCTTCACTCCCTGGTGACGGAGCGCTGCTACCCCGTAAGTGCCTGGAATTTTGGGGAATGTTGGGGTGTCTCAGACGGATGAAAGGGACCCCCAGGATCAGCAATCCAGCCCTGGCCCCGCACAGCACAGTCCCAACAATCCCTCCCAGGTGCGGGGTCGTGGCCGTTCCGGTGCCCAGAAAGAACCAGCAGAGCTGGAGCTGATTTTCGCCGTCAGGAGCGAACAGATCGTTAATGATTCCATTAATTCCGAGCCGGTCTCTGCTGGCAGGACATGGTGCGGGGGAACCGGTACAGAACCATCCGCTGGCGGTTCCTGGAGTCCCTGCAGCCCCCCAGGGTGGTGCACGTGCGCTGCGAGGGCGTCCTGAACCGCGGCAACCTCTACGGGCAGGTGACGGTGAGGATGCACAGCCGCCAGGTGAGCCGGGCTGAGGGGGCTGCAATCCCACCCGGGCCAGGGCAGGGACACCCCTGCTGCCCCAGGTCACACAGCAGCCTTCTCCAGCAGGGACAGGCCCAGATTTACCAGCTTTTCATGGAAGGTCACTTGGATCATCCAGGGGCCTTTTCCAGCAGGGACAGCCCCAAATTTACCAGCTTTTCATGAAAGGTCACTTGGATCATCCAGGGGCCTTCTCCAGCAGGGACAGGCCCAGATTTACCAGCTTTTCATGGAAGGTGACTTGGATCATCCAGGAGCCTTCTCCAGCAGGGACAGGCCCAGATTTACCAGCTTTTCATGGAAGGTCACTTGGATCATCCAGGGGCCTTTTCCAGCAGGGACAGCCCCAAATTTACCAGCTTTTCATGAAAGGTCACTTGGATCATCCAGGGGCCTTCTCCAGCAGGGACAGGCCCAGATTTACCAGCTTTTCATGGAAGGTGACTTGGATCATCCAGGAGCCTTCTCCAGCATGGAGAGGACCAAATTTACCAGCTTTTAATGAAAGGTCACTTGGATCATCCAGGGGCCTTCTCCAGCAGGGACAGGCCCAAATTTACCAGCTTTTCATGAAAGGTGACTTGGATCATCCAGGAGCCTTCTCCAGCATGGACAGTCCCAGTTTTCCCAGCTTTTCCTGGAATGTCAGTTGGGTCATCCAGGAGACTTCTCCAGGGTGAACAGTCCCAGTTTTCCCAGCCTTTCCTCCTAGGAAAATCCCTCCCTCCATCTTCCCTCACCAACCCCAACCTGCTGCCAGCCCAGCACAGAGATTCCAGCCTTTTTTGGGTTGGAAATTCCTTAAATCCCATCCCATGGGCAGGGACACCTCCCACTGTCCCGGGTCACTCCAACCCCATCCATCCTGGGGGATTTTTTTGGATCTCTTGACAGATTTTGGCCATCTATGACCGCTTTGGGCGGCTCATGTACGGCGGGGAGGAGATTCCCAAGGATGTTCTGGAGTACGTTGTGTTTGAGAGGTACCTGGTGAACCCCTACGGAACCTGGAGGATGCACGGCAAGATCGTCCCAGAGTGGGCCCCACCCAAGGAGCCCATCATTAAGGTGGGAAAGGGCTGGAAAATGCAGATCCCTGGGGGGAAATGCAAATCCCTGGGGGAAAATTGCAGATCCCTGGGGGGAAAATGCAGATCCTTGGGGGAAAATGATGCAGATCCCTGGGGGAAAATTGCAGATCCCTGGGGGGAAATTGCAGATCCCTGGGGGGAAATTGCAGATCCGTGGAGGGAAAATGCAGATCCCTGGGGGGAAATGCAAATCCCTGGGGGAAAATTGCAGATCCCTGGGGGAAAATTGCAGATCCCTGGGGGGAAAATGCAGATCCTTGGGGGAAAATGATGCAGATCCCTGGGGGAAAAATACAGATCCGTGGGGGGGAAATGCAGATCCCCGGGGGAAAATTGCATATCCCTGGGGGGAAATTGCAGATCCCTGGGGGGAAAATGCAGATCCCTGGGGGGAAATTGCAGATCCCTGGGGGGAAATTGCATATCCCTGGGGGGAAAATGCAAATCCCTGGGGAAATTGCAGGGAGAAAGGTGGGGGGTTCATCCACGGGCAGAGCTGTTTGGAATGTCCTTGGAGTTGTTCCCTGGGAGGCTGAGGGCCTGGAATGGCTGAGGACAAATCTGGGATAATTTTGGGAATTATTTCCCCCTGTGCCCGACCTCCATAAGTGTCTCTGCCTCCCTGTGTTACTACAAACAGATCTTGGGGGAGAAGGAGGGGAGGATTCCAGTGTAATTCGAGGCTTCCCATCCCATTCCCTCCTCCTGCCTCCATCTGATCCCCTTTTTCCCTTTCCAGAACCCTCTGCTCCCCTTTTCCTGCTGATTTTTGTCCCTTACTTTTGCAGACCGTGATGATTCCAGCCCCGGATCCCTCTCAGGAGCATGAAACAGCGAAGTAGAAAGTTCTGGAACGTGGACAGGGACAAACAGGCCAGCAGGGAAGATTGGGAATGTGTTGGATGTGGCTGTGCCTTCAGGAATGGGCTCCAGCCACCCCAGATTTGTCCTTTGAGGGGCTGGGAGCAGGACCTGGATGAGCTCTGGGAGGAGCTCGGCTCTGTCCCACACGCCGTGTGCTGCAGCCTCGCCCCCGCTGGGTTCCCGTGAGGATGAGGAGCCTTGGGAGCATCCCCGGGCACCCTCTGTCCTGAATTCCATGGGAGAGCCCTGGGAATGTTTGTCACCCCCATGGGAGGGGGCACAGAGCTGCTGCTCAGGCATTAAAGCTTCACCATTAAAACTTTCTCTGCTGATTCCCAAACTCCTATCTTTTAACAGAAACCAGGAAAATTTAAATCAAGTTCTGTGCTGAGGGGGGTGCTGCCGTTGGTGTTTCCCAGAGGAGCTGCAGCACAGCTGATAATTGGGTTTAATTTCAGTTTTGGTTCCTCAGAAGGGCTGGTGTTGGTGCAGAGCTGGTGCTGTCCCTGAGGGAGTGGCACCATCCTGTGGACACGGGGACATTTGCAGCTGTCCCTGCTTTGCCTGGTTGGGAAAACACATTTTATTCTTCCTCCTCTGTGAGTCTCCTTCTCTCTTCCTGCTCTGCTCAGCCAGTTCTCCTCACTCACAGAGCAAAGCCCTCCCTGCTCACCCGAACAAACCCTTTTCTCCTTCTGGCCCTGCTTTTTCACTCAGCCTCTTCCAGAGCGTGGGAGAGTTCGGGGGATTTTTGTTTCTTCCTCGAGAGGGATTTTGCAGAGCTGTGAAAGAGGAGCTGTGGCTCCTGTTGGCTCCTCGTGTTCCTTTTGGGAGGGCAGGGCCTCCCCTTTGTGCTGTGCTGGGAGAGCAGCCAGCAGAGGAATCCCTGCCATGTCCCTGGGGTGTCCCTGGGGTGTCACGATCCCTCTGCTCCTGAAAAACAAAATCTTCTCCATGGAGCCCCTGCCTGGCTCAGGAGCAGAGTGCGGAGCTCAGATCCCTCCGTGCACCTCAGGGCAGGAGGGGATGGAATTATTCCTGAGGGAGGAAAAGGGGATTTTGGGGGTGACCTCACTGAGGAGTCCCTGAAAGAGCTGCGGGAGAGAAGGATGAGGGGACACAGGGAATGGGTTCCCTGTGCCAGAGGGCAGGAGGGATGGAACACTGGGAAGGAATTCCCAGAGAAGCTGTGGCATCCCTGGCAGTGTCCAGGGACAGTGGGACGTGTCCCTGGGTGGGATTTAAGGTCCCTTCCCTCCAAACCTGGGGTTCTCTGGGGTTCCCCAGCCCTGACTCTGAATGAAAAGGGGTTTTTTTGGGTGGAATGTGGATTTTTTGGGAGAATGGCCTTTCCTTCCAGCCAGCCTCTCTCCAGCCTCTGCCACCCAACCCCTGCTCTGCTGGGTTTCCTCTCCAGCCCCTTCCCAGCTCTTCCCCACCTCACAGTGAGCCTCTGTCTGAGCACACTCCGTAGATAATTCCGTTTATTTCCTGTATTTACACAAAATTACACGACCAGGACCTTCAGCCTCACACCCCCAGGCCCCCCAGTCCAACTCCGGGGCTGGGCAGGGGGGATCAGGATGGATCCATGGGTGGATGGGAGGGATAGGTGGACCCACGGGTGGAGAGAAAGGACAAGAGGGATGGATCCACGGATGGATGGATGGATAGAGAGAAAGGACAAAGGCATGGGTCCATGCATAGGTGGAGGGATGGATCCATGGAGGGGTGGATCCATGGATGGATGGATGGATGAGTGGAGGGGTGGATCCATGGAGGGATGGATCCATGGATGGGTGGAGGGGTGGATCCATGGAGGGATGGATGAGTGGAGGGATGGATCCATGGAGGGATGGATGGGTGGATCCATGGAGGGATGGATGAGTGGAGGGGTGGATCCATGGAAGGATGGATGAGTGGATGGATGGATGGATGGGTGGAGGGGTGGATCCATGGGTGGATGGAGCCCCTGGTGCTGGGATCCCCTCACAGCCCGCCCCCATGCCGGGCTCTGGAGGGCTCCGTGCTCTCCTCCGAGCTTTTCCTCGTGCCCAAGCTGGGCTCGGCAGGTGCTGCTGGAGCCTCTGCAGCCTCCCAAGGACAAACCTGGGCCAGGCCAGCGCCGGGGCTGCAGCTGCTGCCGGGCAGGAGCCGGCGCAGGGGCCTGTGCTCGGCCTCCCCCGGGGATCTGCCCCTGGATCTCTGCAGCAGCGCTGCAGACACAGCGCCGGCTCCCGGCTGTCCCAGCCCTGCAGGGGAGCCTCTCTGGGCTGCCTGGGGCTGCACACCTGCCCGGGAGATGGCCTCCTCCAGCCCGAGGGGCTCTGCTGCTTCCCAGGGGCAGATCTCAGATTTCCCGCTCTCCGTGCTCTCGGATTTCTTGGATGGCTCCTTCCACACCGCAGATTTCAGGGACAGCTCCTCTGTGTCCGGGCTCTCCCATGGACAGACGGGCTCTCGGTCTCTGCTGCTCTTCTCCACAGCTTTGGAGGCTTCTCTTGCTGGGAGCTTCTGACCTGGGCCAGTTCCTCTCTCCTGAGGCTCAGCCACCTCCCAGGGACAGATCTCAGCTTTGCTGCTGGATTCAACGTCCTGACTCTCCCAGGGACAGATCTCTGCCTTCTCCGAGCTCTGGGCTTTCCCTGGAGCTGCTTTGGGCAGTGCTGAGCTCCCAGTCTGGGGTTTGGCTGGGGGCTGCTCCTTGTCTTGGCTTTCCCAAGGACAGACGGACACTCGGTCTTGGCTCCCCTTCTCCACTGCTCTGGAGGCTTCTCTTGGTGGGAGCTTCTCCTTTCTTGGGGCTGTTCCCTTCTCCAGCTGAGGCTCAGCCACCTCCCAGGGACAGATCTCAGCTTTGTCACTGGATTTAGAATCCTGAGACTCCCAGGGACAGATCTCAGCTTTGTCACTGGATTTAGAGCCCTCAGACTCCCAGGGACAGATCGATTCCCTCTCTCTGCTCCCCTTCTCCAGAGCTTTGGTCTCCCCTTTTCTTGGGAGTTTCTCCTTATCTGGTACTGTTCCCTTCTCCAGCTGAAGCTCAGCCACCTCCCAGGGGCAGATCTCAGCTTTGTCACTGGATTCAATGTCCTGACTCTCCCAGGGACAGATCTCTGCCTTCTCTGAGCTCTGGGATTTCCCTGGGGCTGCTTTGGGCAGTGCTGAGCTCCCAGTTTGGGGTTTGCCTAGGGGCTGCTCTGTGTCCAGGCTCTCCCAAGGACAGATTGATTCCCTCTCTCTGTTCCCTTTCTCCAGAGCTTTGCTTGTTTCTCTTCCTGGGAGTTTACCCTTACCTGGGCCTGTTCCCTTCTCCAGCTGAGGCTCAGCCACCTCCCAGGGGCAGATCTCAGCTTTGCTGCTGGATTCAACATCCTGACTCTCCCAGGGACAGATCTCTGCCTTCTCCGAGCTCTGGGATTTCCCTGGAGCTGCTTTGGGCAGTGCTGAGCTCCCAGTCTGGGGTTTGGCTGGGGGCTGCTCCGTGTCCAGGCTCTCCCATGGACAGACGGACTCTCGGTCTTGGCTCCCCTTCTCCACTGCTCTGGAGGCTTCTCTTGATGGGAGTTTCTCCTTACTTGGGGCTGTTCCCTTCTCCAGCTGAGGCTCAGCCACCTCCCAGGGACAGATCTCGGCTTTGTCACTGGATTTAGAGCCCTGAGACTCCCAGGGACAGATCTCAGCTTTGTCACTGGATTTAGAGCCCTGTGACTCCCAGGGACAGATCTCAGCTTTGCTGCTGGATTCAGTCTCCCAAGGACAGATCTCTGCCTTCTCCGAGCTCTGGGATTTCCCTGGGGCTGCTTTGGGCAGTGCTGAGCTCCCAGTCTGGGGTTTGCCCAGGGGCTGTCCTGTGTCCGGGCTCTCCCAAGGACAGACGGACGCTCTGTCCCTGCTGCCCAGGGATCTCTGGGGGCTGGCCAGCGCCGCCTGGCGCGTGATGCGCTTGTCCCCCTTGGGGCCCCCAGCAGGGCCCTGCTTTGCCTTCGGCTGCTGGGAGGGAGGCTCAGCTGCTTCCCAGGGACAGATCTCGGCTTTGCTGCTGGATTCAATGTCCTGACTCTCCCAGGGACAGATCTCTGCCTTCTCTGAGCTCTGGGATTTCCCTGGAGCTGCTTTGGGCAGTGCTGAGCTCCCAGTCTGGGGTTTGACCAGAGGCTGCTCCGTGTCTGGGCTCTCCCAAGGACAGATGGACTCTCTGTCTCTGCTTCCTTTCTCCAGAGCTTTGGTCTCCTCTTTTCTTGGGAGTCTTTCCTTACTTGAGACTATTCCTTTCTCCAGCTGAGGCTCAGCCACCTCCCAGGGACAGATTTCAGCTTTGCTGCTGGATTCAATGTCCTGACTCTCCCAGGGACAGATCTCTGCCTTCTCCGAGCTCTGGGATTTCCCTGGGGCTGCTTTGGGCAGTGCTGAGCTCCCAGTTTGGGGTTTGGCCGGGGGCTGCTCCATGTGCGGGCTCTCCCATGGACAGACAGACTCTCGGTCCTTCTTTCCAGAAGTGAAGGAAGCTCCCACTTCCTTCAGGAGTCCTTGACTTGTGGAAGGGCTTTTGCTCACCCTGGATGGATCCTCTTTGTCCTGTCTGGGTTTCTCTTTACCCGAGGGCTGTTCAGCCACCTCCCAGGGGCAGATCTCAGCTTTGCTGCTGGATTCAACGTCCTGACTCTCCCAGGGACAGATCTCTGCCTTCTCCGAGCTCTGGGATTTCCCTGGAGCTGCTTTGGGCAGTGCTGAGCTCCCAGTCTGGGGTTTGGCTGCGGGCTGCTCCGTGTCCAGGCTCTCCCATGGACAGACGGACTCTCGGTCTTGGCTCCCCTTCTCCACTGCTCTGGAGGCTTCTCTTGGTGGGAGTTTCTCCTTTCTTGGGCCTGTTCCCTTCTCCAGCTGAGGCTCAGCCACCTCCCAGGGACAGATCTCAGCTTTGTCACTCGATTTAGAGCCCTCAGACTCCCAGGGACAGATCTCTGCCTTCTCCGAGCTCTGGGGTCTCCCTGAAGGAGATTTGGGCAGGGCTTTGGCTGGGGGCTGCTTTCCCTTTTCTGGTGCTCCGGATCCTACTTTTCCTTCCCCTTTGGGAGTGCCACGCGTGTCCTGCCCCAATCTCTCCTTCCCCGACGGAGCTGCAGCCTCTTCCCAGGGGCAGATCTCTGGTTTTGGGCGCGGCTCATCCTCCACCTCCCAGGGACAGATGTTTGCCTTTTTGCTCTCCGTGGTTCCAGCCCGCTGGGGTGAGGGTTTGGGCAGAGCTGGGGGTTTCTCTGTGAGCTCCATCCCAGATTGCTCCACACCTTCTCCGGATCTGGGGGC